CTCCGGACAAATGGTCAGATCTCTTAACTTCCAGTTGGTGCTCGTGGATGCCTGTGGAGACGGATCTTCCTGTCTGTCCACAGTATACGGTATCACAAGCTTCGCATGGGATCTTGTAGATGACTCCTTTCTTATCGAGATGGCCCACCCTATCCTTAGAATGTACGAGCTGGGTGCGTATAGTAGCCGTCGGTTTGTGCACCACTTTTATTTGCTATTTCCGCAAGATCCTTTTAACGACTTTAGACACCTTCCTTATATAAGAAAGGATTCTCTATGCATTTGTTTTGGGCGATTCAGCGTCGAAAATTCACTGAATAAAGTTACATTATGTCCCAGATGAGGCACTTCCTTGAAAACAGTTAAATAATTCAGGTTAAAATAACCCGCCAGACTCGTGTGTCTGATGATTTCCTAAGTATTAATTTATCGCAAGTTCACTGCAGTAGTGAAAGTGGTTTGCATGCTAATGGGTTGTTCTTGTTTCCGGGTTGAGTCATCCGTAGTTACTATAGCCCTAGATACGATGGGTATTTGAATTCATGAGGGGATTTAAAATGCATAAACTAAGGCGCGATTAAAGCAGTGCTTTCTTGAGGTGCAGCTCTTCGGAACTTCTTGCATTGGCAGATATGAGTTAATATAACACAGCACTTGATCATCTGCTCACGCCCGACTACGTAAGTGGGAATTGGACAATTCGAATGTCTCGATGGCGTTCTGTTGCGCTGCGTAGAACCTCATTGCCATCGCCTCAATTGGACCCAGATACCAATCTACTTCATCCGTACTAAATCCAGTGACTCTTCAAGCAGTCCACTTATTTGACCTTACTGAGATTGGATTTCAGTGTAACCATGGCGAGGGGATGCTGAACTGTGCTGACAAGAGCTGACTGCTTGTCACTAACACGTGCTTCCGGCATCACCACAGACGACATCTGACCTGTTATTCAAAAAGTCGCCTTGTGACATGTCGCCTCAAGGTTCCGCAACTCAGTTCACGAGAACAAATCGATGCACTCCACTGAGACGGGGTCAGACCATGTTCTCGTTCACAAACCC